ATTTGCAGGTCCTGGAAACTCTGGCAGAGATGTGGGTCATTTTTCTGCCTTGCCTAAGCTGACCTAACCACTCCTGTCTCCTTTCATAGACCCAGTAAGACGCTGGTGAGATGTGAAACCTCAGGGCCATTGTCACTGCACTGGACCAGACACAGCTAGTGTGGTAATCAGACTCATGAGGAGCCAATGAAACTGTCTCTCAAGAAGGTGAGCTGGGGATTTAGCTCAGTGGTCCCACCACCTGCCTCCCAAGTGCGAGGTCCCAAGTTCGATCCCTGGTACCAAAAAAAAAAAAAAAAAAAAAAAAAAAAAAGATGGTGGAAGGGGTGGCTCAGAGCACCTACTGTGTGGGACTGGAAGTTGTGATTTCAGGTCTGAGACACTTTGCCCAGGTTTATGAGCGAATGGAACAGGAAACATCTGTTGAGAAGTAAGACCAGGAGAGAGGCAGGAAGAGGTTGTCAGTTCCTATCCCTCTCGGCTCAGTTGTGTTTCCTGTTCCTCGTGTTATGAAACACCTCTGCAATCTTTCAATAAATCTCTCTTTTACTAAACAAACTCAAAGGCATTTATTTCTTGCAATCAAATGAAGGTTTCTACTGCAGATAGAATATATGAAGACCAGCTTAGCACAGCCTTGTATAACGGCACGGTACCCCCGCACTTTTGTTGTTCTGTAACAGGATAGCCCCTTCTAGAAGTTTCCTCAGCAGGATTACTTTCACCTTCTTTTCCTAGTCCTTCACCGTGCCCTTCCTTTTACCCAGAATTCCAAACTCACCTGAAAAGCTAATTCTGAGGAGAGGCCTCACCTGAATGCTAACACTCGTAACTAGCTGCAGGAGGTTGAGATAATACATACACCCTCGCTGGTGAAGACTGCAGGCTTCCTTCCCCACTGAAAATCCTTGATACCCTGCCTCACTCCCAGACTGAGAAGGGAAGACCCAGAGGAGTCGGAACCCTTACGACCAACACTTGTGTCCCACATATTGGTCCTCAAGTGGTGGCAGCCTAGACTTGGACTCCATCTGGTAAAACACCAGATTTGTGGAGTTTTGCTGTCCTAAGGCATCGAATAGTATAAGGAAGCTGGATGTGGGGGTGCCCAGCTGTAATCCTAGTTACTTGGGAGGCTGGGGCAGGAGCATTGCAATTTGGACACCAGCCGGGGCAATTTAGCAAGACCGCATCTCACAAAGTAAAAAGCTGGGGATGTAGCTCAGTGTAAGTAAGGGCTCTGTGTTCAATCCCCAGGAACCCCAAGAAAAAACGTATAGGGAGAGAGTTTGTAGTCAGGGCTGACAGAGAAAGCGTGGGACGGGCTGTGGAGTTGGGGCAGCCCATGGGGGGGTCATGCTGAGGTGGAATAGGCAGTGGATTCCCTCCACCTAGGAAAAGTAACTGGTGGCTGAGCCCCCTCAGCCTCTTGGGACCCACGCATGATGATTTGGCTCACTGAGGCAAAGCCTTGCGGGATGCAGAGCTACACAACACCGGGACAGCTGGCCCTGCTGAATTTTTTCCTGCAGCCTTGAGTAGAGCACAGCAAGAAAGGGAAAGGCCCTGGTCCAGGCTGCCTGGGTGGAGGTGCACGGGGCAGTTACGTGGTTAATTCCCGTGGAATGCCCTTTCTGCCCTGCCAGTATGGCTATTCTGAGCTCTGCAGGGCTGTCAGGAAAGCATTTTCATCTTGCCACACAGCAGCAGTCGAACTCTCTGCCCTGCCCATCCTGTGGCTCAAAGCAATGTGCAGACAGATTATGTGCATGACTGACAAGTGGGGAGAGGGTCCCTCCAAGGACCCCCCGCCCCCGAAACAAAGGTCAGGCGCAGTCCGCTGTCAAATGAGTTCTTTGATGGGACAGGAGTGTAGAGAGGTGGGTGTCAAGTTTGAAAGCAAATATGAGGAAGGAGGCCTGGCCTGGTTTTTGCTCCTAAAGTAGAATAAGAAACAAAAGGTAATTTGGGTGTAGCCTCAGTTGTTGCTAAGCAACAGAGACCTAGACTAGTTTTGTTATTTCTAAACAACTAGCAAGTTCTTTCTTATAACCAAGAGAATTCCTTAGAACAGAAAGGACAGGCGCCCACCAGATTTCTATGGAAAGAACATGCCTTTGTGCTCCATTCAAATTCCCATGGCAGGGAGTCTAACCTCTCCTACAGCTGCTGCCCCGGTTAGCGGTCAACAGCTGTACCCTCGAAGCCGGGTATCAGCCACTTGCAATGTGAAAGGCAATGTCCGACTTGAAAGTTGAAGGGAGAAAATGTGCAAGAGTGACCAATAAGTAAAGAGATGGATGATGACAGAGGACCTCAAAATATACTACAAAGTGTCAGTAATTAAAGTAGCATGGTATTGGGATCCCACAGTCCCACTCCTGCATCTAGGTCCAAAGGAAAGGAGCCCTGGATGTTGCAGAGAACCCTGCATGCCGAGTTTATTGGGGTGCTGTTCCCAATCGCTGAGATCTGGAACCTACCCCAGCCTCCTCCAACTGGCGAAGAGGGAGAAAATGTGGTACATGCACAGTAGAACACTACTCAGCCTTTAAAAATGAAATCCTGTCTCTGCGGGCAACATGGATGAGCTGGGGGATGTTCCTTCAGTGAAATAAGCCAAGCACAAAAAGACAAACACTACGTTCGTCACACATTCTGACTCATACGCGCGATCTAAGAAAAGTTAAAAAGTTGATCTAGTAGAGTAGAACAGTGGTTACCAGAGGCTGGGAAGGGCAGAGGGAGGAAGGGATAGAGAAAGGTTGGCTAACATGTACAAAAATACAATTAGATAGCTGGGTGTGGTGGCACACACCTGTGATCCCAGGACTCAGGAGGCTGATGCAGGAGGATCTCTGTGACTTTGAGGCCAGCCTAAACTATACACTGAGTTCAAGCCCAGTCTGGACCACATAGAGAGATCCTGTCTCAAAAAATAAAAGCAAAGCAAAACAATTGGAGACAGGTAGAGTGCTCCTCAGTTTGATATCCAGTAAAACTCACACACACACACACACACACACACACACACACACACACACACACACAGAAAAAGGAAAAGAAAAAAAAAAGAAATGAAAAGAAGAAAAAAGAAAATAACGTTAGTTGGGTATAGAGACACATACCTGTAATCCCAGCACTCTGTGAGGCTGAAGCAGGAGGATAGCAAGTACGAGCCCAGGCTGGGTAACTTAGTGATTTAGTGAGACTCTGTCTCAAAAGTAAAAAAATAAAACTGGGCCAGGAATGTAGCACATTAACAGGAAAAGTCATAAAAACTTCAGGCCATAAAAGAAAAGATTATCGATTTCACATTATGGAAATGTTCAACAACTTTTTTTTTTTTTTTTTTTTTGGTACTGGGGATTGAACTCAAGGCCTTGTGTTTGTGAGGCAGGCAGTGGCACCACTGAGCTAAATCCCCTGCCCTCAACTTCTTTTTGAAGAAAGACATCATTTAAAAAATCAGAAGAAGTTGGGTGTGGTGGCACACGCCTGAAATCCCAGCATTCGGGAGGCTGAGGCAGGAGGATCACTGTGAGTTTGAGACCAGCCTGGGCTACACAGTGAGTTCCAGAGGCCCTGTCTCAAAAAAAACTAACTAACTAACTAACTAAATAAATAAATCAGAAGACAAGCAGTAAGCTAGAAGAAGAAAATATTTGGGCCATATAAGATAAAGAATAGATTGCTACTGGTTATATATATATATAAAAGCTTCTACAAGTTAAGAAGAAAGCACTTACCATAAAAGGTAATTTATAACAATGAGTTAGAAACATCCCAGCAAACTAAAATAAGACTGATTTTCTTTTTCTTTCTTTCTTTCTTTTCTTTTTTTTTTCCTTTCTTTTTTTTCTTTTTTTTTTTTTTTTTTTTTTTAAGTAGTTGAGACTGCCCTGGAACTCACTATGTAGCCCAGGCTGGTCTCGAACTCACAGCAATCCTCCTGCCTCAGCCTCCCAAGTGCTGGGATTACAGGCATGTGCCACCACACCGCCCAGATATTTCTTCAGTAGTTTATAGGAACAAACACAAACCGAAACAAAGCTGGGTCATTCCCTACTTCCATTACATGGGGTTTCTTTGAATAGGGCACAAGGGGTTAAGTTGACAATAAGCAGACTCTATCTTTCTTAAATTAAACCGGTTTACTTTTGTTGGAGTCGAAAGCATTTCCAAAATCTTCAGTCACACTTTGCAGAGAATATCATAGTTTATTTCCCTATTTACTGTGAATGAGCTCCACTATTTTAACCCTCAGAGGGCAACCCTGTTCCTAGCATCCATGTAGGAGCGATTAGAAAAGTGGTCAAACGCCACAGGAGTTCACTATATGGAACTTTCCACTCTTGAGGAGCAAGGGTCTTAGCTTTTGCGCATTCGTGGTGGGAGTGCGGGGGCAGAGGCGTCCTGGCGGGGAAGGCATTGGGCTGGGGTTGCAGAGGAGCAGGGAGCCTGGACATAAGTTACTGGCCAGTGCCTGGCCCCAAAGAAAGCGATGGATCCCAGCCCCGGGTGATTTCACTCCCAGAAGACATCTGGCCACGTCCTGGGACATTTTTTTTTTGGTCATAACTACGAGGCTGCGGCTGGCATCCTGGAGGCAGGGGCAGGGATGCCACTCGGTACCCTACCGGCACGGGACATCACCCCACAACCAAGAATTAGCCACTGCAGAGCGTCAGTAGCCTCGAGATTGACTGGCGATCCAGAGCGGCACGAAGCACTTGCCATCCCATGGAGAATCTCAACAGCTCTGAGGTAGAGTCAGTAAAAGGATGTTGGGCGGCCATAACTAAAACAGCTCACTAACTCAAGTACTCACGCTCTCTCCGTCCCCTCTGTGAAACACAGAGTGATGTCGGCGGCTCAGAAATACTCAAGCATGAACACTCTAGGATACTTGTGACCCTCTGCCTCATCAGCACAGATGTGCTTACCGTTACAGTTTCTGACTGGACACCGCTGTGGAAGGCGATTGGCTAAGCGGGTGCAGCAGCCGGCTTGGTGTTAAGAGGTGGGGCCTGGGGGAAGGGGCGGGTCGTTGTGGGCGTGGCCTGGAAGGCTTTGCCTCCCTCCCCAGCTCCTCCCTTCTCTCTCAGTAGGTAGTCCCGAACTCCTGGTCCTGGCGGTCCTCTTGCCTCAGCCTCCCAAGCGCTGGGATTGTGGGCATGTGCCGTCACGCCTGGCTTCTCTCTGCCTCTCGCCCACTACCATGAGGAGGTCTTCTCTGCTCTCCACCTCTTCTCTGCCATCCTGCCTTGGAGCCAGCAGACAATCATCTGAAACGTGAGCCAAAGTAATCCTCTCCTCCCTTTAGTCACGTGTGCTGGGTATTTTGTCCCAACAATGAGGGAAGTAACTAAGACACTTACCGAGCTGCTTTTGTTCCTTGAAATCTTCTTATTATTTTTTTGGTACCAGGGATCGAACTCGGGCCCTTGCGCTTGTGAGGCAGCCAGTGGAACCACTGAGCTAAATCCCCGGCCCGAAACGTTCTTCTTATTAATTACATAATGTAGTTACCTATTACATAAATCAGAATTTCTTGCTCTTGGTACTGATATGAATCAATGAAACATGAATGCAAAAATAAAGTGATCTGTTCTATGAAAGTGGACATGGCAGACTGGCTATCAGCCCCACAAAGCTGGCTCCTCGGCTTCCTGGGCGCACAGCTGGACTGCATTTCCCATGGTCCTTTGCAGTGGATGGGCGCGTGCTTCCTGTTACCCCCTGTTACACCGGGTTCCCGTTACCAATGGAAGTGGTGCACGTCACTTCCAGGTGGAGGTGGTTTAGCCTTCCTCCAGCTCTTGCCTCTTCTTTCACTAGAGGCATCCAAAAACAATACCTTGGAACCACATAGGGGAAGACTGCAGAGCTGAAAGTGGAAGGCATCTGCATCCCTGAACCATGCTTAGAGGAGAGCCACTCACCAGTTAGGAGACCCTGCTTTGGCCTTTGTGTGAACAAGAAAATTCCATTGTTCTTGAGCCATTATACATTTGGTGGCTAGACTGTTAGAGCAGGTAGTATTTCCTTAAGTGATATAACTGGATTGAAGGTTTGGAGATACTAGTAAAGCTGAGTCCCTCAAAACTGCCATGAAATTAAGCAAGAGGGAGAGAATAGTACAATATTGGGAACTATATATATTTACATATATATAGATATATCTATCTATCTATCTATATATATATCCCCCACCCCAGGGATTGAACTCGGGTCCTTGCGCTTGCAAGGCAGGTGGCGGAACCACTGAGCTAAATCCCTGGCCTCCTATTTCTTTTTAAGAGTCTTTAAACTTTTACTGTATTTTGAAGAAATCATTGATTTTGCATTGCCAGCATGGTTTGTGCAAAGAAAATCATTTTGGAATCTAATCAGCAAAACCAAAAGGCCTCGCCTTGCGTCGAAAGATGGACCTGTGCACGTGCACTAACTACATATAATCTATTTACCACTAGTCCCCACCCCACTGAATGACAGGGCGCTCTGCCATTTTACAAAAGAAAAAATTGCGTTCAAGGAGGTAAGGTAGTTATTCCAAATCACATGGCTAGCAAGTGGCAGAGCCAGAATTTGCTTCCCGACTCCCATCTCTTAGTGGCTACTCTGTGCATGGCTTTCCTTGCTCTTGGAAATTCTTGTTCCAAAGTGTATCTGCTGGAGAAGCCAGTTTTAGCTTCCAGAAGCTGATTACAAACAATAGACAGCAGATGCACCCATGGAAGTTGCTCATTTGGCAAATGCTTTCGTTGGAAGAGGTATTTAATTGCATAAAAATGGCAGAGACCCTGGCTGCGCGGCAGGCGGTCCTGCTCAGCCCCACGGTGCATCTGATCTCCATCCCTGCAGGTGCAGCTTCTGGAGGAACATTCGGGATCCCAGGCTCCCCGCACAGATACCCATCTTTCTTTATGATTCACAAACAGATTTCTCATATGTTATCTTGCCTGAGCCTCTCAACCACCCTGTAAAATAGGCACGATGAGTGTCACCTCATCTTACACAAAACTGAAGCTTGGAGGGGTTAAGTAATTTCCCTGAATCCCCTGGCACTGTGTGGCAGGGACAGAGAGGAGATTCAAGGCCACGCCTGCACTTCTGGGTCCATCTGCACCCCACGAACGACTCCTGCCACCACCCCATGTGCCTTCGCTCCAAGCCCCATGGTCGTTTAGCAGAGGCAGCTTGGTCCCTCAGTGAGAACATGTCCTGGTTTGAGTCAGGCCTCCGGTTTACCAGCCAGAGGCGCAGTTTTTTAATCTTTTCTGTGGCCGAGAATGGCCAGACAGGCCCATTCAGGACTGAGGAGGAACGTAGAGCCACTCGATGCGGTTGTGATCCAAAGCCTGGCTCAGCTCTGTACAGTCAGCTGTCTTTGTACCCGAGATCCGGTGCCCCTGTGCCTTGCAGCCGGCCCCCCAACTGCCCTAAGTGGAGGACCATTTTGCTTGATTGGAAGCTGCCCAGAACAGGCATGAATTTTGATTTGAGGAAAATATTCTACAGGGTGATTCTTGCTTTTGACCAGGAGCCAGGTGATTCCGGTCTTGCGTCCTGTTCTTCTTCCAAGACTCAATTTTCCCATTTGTAAAATGAATGGGTTTGATTAGATAATCTAAGATCTTTTTGGAGGATGATTTTCAGTGGTTTCCGGATCCTTTGCCTTGGGTTGGAAACTCCCTGGGGCTATGAATCCTTGGCTCCTCCAGGCTCAGGTGTCCCTCCTGCTCCGCCCAGGGCTTGGCAACAGGTCGGTACACACTCACGGGCTCCTAGGTGCACAGTGTGTGCCAAGCAGGCAGCCACTCCGGGGAGAGTGGAAGGGAGAGAAACGGCCCTGGCTCCCTGGAGTGCTGCCAGCCAGGCTTGTGGAGTAGCCGGAGACGCCCACAGGGCAGAGGACTCCTGCTTAGGCCTCCACAACGCTCCACTGAGGAAGTCAAAAAACCCATTAGGCCTCCACAACGCTCCACTGAGGAAGTCAAAAAACCCAACAGGTCTCCTTGCTGCCAGTATCCTCCTCTGCTGATTCATCCCTCACGTGGCTGCAGATTTACGAAAATCCAGATCTCATCAGATGCTCTCCTGAATTAACGAGGCGCCTGCGTCTCTTCCATGGCTCCCTGTGTCTCCCTGGTGGGAACCTGAGCCCACTGGCATGGTGTCAGCCCTTCGGCCTCCAGTCCTGCCTGCCTGGAAGGGTTCCCATGGGGTCATGCCTCTTCGGCACCGTGGACTCTGGTCATCTGGACCTTCCTCTCCCCATCCCTGTCTCTGACCCTTCGCCAGCAGGCTCTTGAGCCCTGGAACACTTGTGTGGCCAGTTAAGTACAATCTGATGGCAGCCCCTTTATTCATCTCATATTTGAACCTCACCAGCCGAAATTCCAGAGTCTTCCTTTAAGGCTTCTCACCTCCCACCACTCAGTGACACCCACACCACTGCCTAAGAACCTGAGGATTTACTCATCTCAAAGAGATTAGTATGTGAGAAAAGGCAAAGTATAGGAAAGAAGGGGGCCATGTGAGGTAAACTGGGGTGCATTTCCTGGAGAAAGAGAATTTTCTCTTGTGTGGTACTGGGAGCTGAACTCAAGATCTTCACATCGAGCTATGTCCCCAAACCCCTTTAAAAAATATTTTAATTTTAAAGCAGTGTCTCACTAAATAGCACAGGCTGGTCTTAAACTTGTGATCCTCCTGCCTCAGGCCCCCAGAGTGCTGGTGTTGTAAATAATGCTCCACCACATCTGGCTGAGAAAGAGGATTTTCACCAGAATTTAGAATCACCTGAGAGCCTGGCGGGGAGCTGGCACTGGCTGTGGAATGGGAGGAGCCCATAGCTGGGAAGAGGGAAAAAAAGCACCTTCCCTGGCTCTGATCCAGTGAATCCAGCCTGTGGCAGCTTTCAGGGGGACTCGTTCAGTGTGGATAATGTTCCAAAGCGGCAAAGTCCCGGGAACCATAAACGTGTTCATGCCTTTGACAAGTAATTCTGCTTGGGAAAATTTATACTGAGGAAATAATTCAATAGAACACCAAAAGCTCTGCACACAGCGGTGTTCACACAGGCATTCTTCACAGCAGGGAACATTTGGAAGCAATCTAAAATGTAACAATAGGAGCTAGTTAAACAAAATACAAAATGGCCATGTGATAAAGTGTTGCGAAGACATTAAGATTTATATTGTTACAAAATAATTCAGCTGCTGGGCATGGTGGCCCACAGCTATAAGCCCAACACTCTGGGAGGCTGAGGCAGGAGGATCACAAATTCTAACCCAAATGGGACAACTTAACAATTTAGCAAATCTCTGTCTCAAAATACAAATTTAATAAGGGCTAGGTGAAGCAGGGGCTGCTTTGGGGCTTCTTCTCTTTCAATGCTATCCTCTTTCTATTCATCCTTCCCATCTCTGCTCCTATTTCTTCTTTTTTTTTTTTCCTCTGAGTTTATTGGTACATTCTAGGTATACAGTACAGTTACATTCATTATTGGGATCTTGTACCTTTACATGAAAGGTTCTCATTTTTTCCCCTTGTCGCTGCCCTCCCTTCATCCCCTCCTCCCCTTCCCCTGTACAAACCCTTCATTTCCAGTTTTTCATTTTCTCTCCGCTCCTGTTTCTTTGTGCCTTCAGGATGGAAGTTGAGGAAGGAGGAAAAATATGAGCTGTTTTGTCCATCATCCCCACAACTGTCACTGGATTCTCCCGCTGTTGGGTGGAATTGGTAGCACTGGCTGGGCTGAGGGGGATAAAATGGTCTAGAAGTGGCTTTTTGTAGGGTGTGGCCCAGTCAGCCAAGAGCAGAGAGAGTGGAGAGTCACCCCAGCCCCACAGAGGTGACCCAGGCTGGTCTCTGATTCCTCGAAGCCCATCTTAACTGTGGCGTCCTCCGTAACTACACGTAACTGCTGCCAGCTCTTACAAGAAGCTCTAGGACTGGATGCCTTAGCTCTATGTCATCTAGCAGATAATAATTTTCACTCAGAGGGTTGTCATGAAGACTACAACATATAAAATGTACAAAAGTTGCTTCCTCTTACCTGGTGCAGGAAAGACTGCCTTTCTCTGGCTGGTGCTGAAACACAGTCTTCTTCTGACCAGAATGAAAGACCATGGTCCCCTGAGACGTGGCTGGGCTAATTTCCCAGCAATCCAGATCTGTTTAGAGTTTCCAGGACCTGAGGGCAGCCGAGTGACCCGTGAAAAAGTGAAGATGCAGGGATGGCCAGGCACAGAACACATCTCTCCCATCCCCAGTGCCTGGTTCAC